GGTGCAAACTAATATTACACACTCATATCACTTAGAGGGGAACTCCAACTGGACTAACAATGGACTTTCAGCAGAAACAATAATAATTGCTGAACAATACAATAATTGATGGCAAGGGCCCGGGAAGAATGCGCTGAGAGGAGAAGTGCGCAGCGTGCTGCACGGGCAGCCAAATCTGCTGACGCAACCCTGACCCAGCCTGCCTCAGCCTCCCCTCAGCTCCCGTCTCTGTCTGATGGCACAGCCGCCTCCGCCTTGAACACTCACCCACGCTGCTCCCACCCCTCCACCCACCACTGCAGCGAACACCTTCCCCTGCCCCTCAGTCGTCAAAGCTTGGCTCTGGGGCGGGCGTGGGGTAAAGGTGAGCTGATGACCAAGGAGCTCAAGAAGGAAGAGGATGATCTGAAACCTGAGTGTGGGAGCAATTGCTATGATAGCTGCACTAGCGCCAAGTAAAATTATGTTGATAATTTTGACAACAAAAAAGTTCAACTCTGGTTTCTAGATACACAGATCTCATGAAAATTTAAAACACAAACAAAAACAAAACAAAAAATGGTCTCACTTCTTTGCCAAAGGAGAGAAAGTGACTTGGAGCAATGAGTTCGCTAAGTTTGCTTGTGGAACAAAAACAAGGAACATTGCTATGCAAATGATTCCTGGAGGGAATTTCCTACTCCTCTCCGTTAATAAGGAACTTGACCCGCTCCAGTCTTCCGGCTCCGGGCCTCTTCACACATAACCCCACCCAGTGAAGTCTCGTGGCCCCCGTTTCCACGCTCACCTTCTCCACGTGCACGGCGGCGTGGGGACTGAGCCACCGGATGTCTTTCACAAACGGCCAGTACTCGGTCTGGCGGCAGCACACCTGAGGGGACACAAAGGGTAAGCACGTCGCTACCATCTGCAGCCAAAGCCAGTCCGAGTGTTGACATGCAAAGAAAATAAAAGGTTGGCAGAACTCTCCCCTCGGCAGCGGCTGTCAAAGGAATCATGCTTCTTTCCCATCTTTAAAGGATATTCTTTCCAATGCACTATTACAATTCTTCTGAGCGGGGAACACGCTTATTATACAAAGGGTTACCCGTGGAGTCTGACTTCAGGCCCGATGGCAGGAGGCACTCCACTCCCCCACTCCCCAATGAGACTGGCAAAATGATTAAAAACAGAAAAGAAAAAAAAATAAAACCACTCAAAGCATCTAGAAAGGACAAGCAGCAATTGTAGCAATGTCTTTTGGGGGGACAGAGTATTTATGTATTTAAATAATTGTATTGGAGACTCGTACAACTCATCATAATCCATACATCCATCCATTGTGTCAAGCACATCTGTGTATTTGTTGCCATCATCATTCTCAAAACATTTGCTTTCTGCTTGAGC